AAAAACTAAAAGTGCTGAGGAATCGACGTCGTGGAGTTTAACTAGGATTACGAAATTGGAAACTTTTTGAAAGATTCAAATGGAATGCTAACAAGATGCGCCTTCAGTTCAAATGGGATATGGTTTCTGACTGTATCTAGATAAGGTCGTTGCAACTGGAATATTATGATGTCTTGATGTGAAAATTATCGAGTGTGGATTTAGAATTTGAAAATGAAAGACGTTTAGAAGAAAAAAGGTAGCTTAAAGCATATTATTAAATTCAGATTAGTTGATAAATCTTAATGAAATATTAAGGATCCTAATTCTATCTCTGTTAAGTTACCTGATTTAAGCTACCAGAATCTGAGGTTGTATTGAGAACTGAGTAATTTTAAAAAAAAAAAAAAAATTTGATAGTTGATTACAAATAACTCTTCTTTAATGATATTCAAAAATTGTTTATTTGCGTTCTGCATTAAAAGGAGACTCGAAAGCTGTAGAAACTCCAGAGACAGTTTCAGTCTGTTTGGTTTTATTGATAGATATGAAAAATAAAGGTTGATTGTTAATTCTCATATTATGAATATTTTAAATTTTGAGAATACATGTGAATCTTATAAGGTCTTAGAAACTCTAGTTGATGTTTTGAACCAAAAACCTAAGAGGTTTAAACTTAATGAATTAGAAAGCTAATGAAAAACATCAATTCCTTATAAATATTGTCATTCAAAAGTTAGATAAAGAAGAAACAAGAAAAAAAAGAAATGAGTTTAACATCGACTGAATAACCCAAATTCGGTAGGTTCATGGAATATTTAGAAAAACGATCCAAAGTTAGAAAATTTACATGGAGTGAATACCGTTCACTTAAATCTAAAACTTCTTATACAAATAAAACCAGTCGAACAGCAATTCCTGCAATTGTGTAAAATGAACATTGGATAGTTTCTTATTTTTGAAAATGACTCCATTGCAAAGATTTAATATTGCTAAAAAACCTGCTTGTATAAACTGTTTAAGTGATAAACATAAGTTGCATCATGAAATTCAAATATCTTGTCGTTTATGCCAAGGAAAGCAAATTAGCTATTGTGTAAGTCTGAAACTAAAAATTCTTTCTGTGAAAAAACTTCGCCAGATCAAGATACAATGTCTCACAAAAGTGATGGGACACTTGTGATTTACAAAAGGAAACTGTAATAAAATAAATTAAAAGAACATGAAACATTTTTTGCGGATGTGTTTCATACTTAAATTTAGTAACAATTATTACGTAACATACATTTTCTCATAATATTAATATTAGTTTAATAAAATACAATGTTTAGAACGGAGCAAAAAATGGCCTCACATAAGTGATGGGACACCATTAGATACTACTACGTACTACAATAAAAATACTTTTTGTGGTTTTTATTTTTACTCAAAAGCAATTAGCAATAATTTATAAAATCGTCTGCAGTATTTCGCTCCAGTTTGTTTTGGAATTTTTGTGTTTTTTAGCTCTGTGCAGCCATGAATGCTAAACGAAAAGAAACCTTGCCTGAAGTTCGAAAATTAGTTGTTAATCTGCATATTGAACTTGGAAAATCTATTAGAGAAACTGCTGAAACAGTTAACTTGAGTCATTCAACAGTTTTTAATATCATTAAACGATATAAAAAGAATCATATGATTCAGGACAAAAGAAGATCTGGCCGACCATCAAAGCTATCCAATGGAAATAAAGCGAATTATCGTTCGAAATATTAAAAAAATCCAAGAATGAGTGCTCCTAAAGTTGCTGCTGATTTACAAGCATTATATGGAATAATTGTTAATCCTGAGACTATTAGAAGAGTAATTCGATTTGCTAGATATCACGGTAGAGCAGCCAGGAAAAAATTCTTCGTAAATGAAAAGAATAGAAAACTCAGACTGGCTTTCGCAAAATCCAACATAAATAAGAATTCTGATTACTGGAATGGAGTTATATTTGCTGATGAGAGTAAATTTAATATATTTGGTTCTGACGGTAGAATCTTGGTGTGGAGAAAACCCAGGGAAGAATTTCGCAAACAGGACTTGGTGCCAACAGTAAAACATGGTGGAGGAGGAGTTATGGTATGGGGGTGTATGTCGTCCGCTGGAGTAGGTAGTCTTGTTTTTATTGACAGTATAATGGATCAGTACAAGTATATTGACATTTTAAATCAACAAATTGAAATCTTCAGCACGAAAATTGAACCTTCATAACGATTTAAATTCTACCAGGGACAATGACCCCAAGCACACTGCTTTGAAGTTAGACTGGCTGCTATATAACTATCCTGAAAATAATAAAAACACCACCACAATCTCCAGACTTAAATCCCATAGAGAATATTTGGCAAGAATTGGAATCAAGAATTCGCAAACACACCATTTCTTCAAAACAACAATTAAAATCGGTGCTTCAAGACGAATGAGGTAAAATCACTCCAGAAATCACAAAAAAATTAGTCGAAACCATCCCAAGAAGATTAAATCATGTTTTAAAAGTAAAAGAATATCCAACAAAATACTAAAACGTTTTAAAAAGTAAAATGTTTGGATAAATATTTGATGGAAAAGTAAGTGTCCCATCACTTATGTGAGCCATTTTTTGCTCCGTTCTAAACAATTGTATTTTTATTAAATTAATATTTTAATATTTTGAGAAAATGTATATTATGTAATAATTGTTACTAAATTTAAATATGAAACACACCCACAAAAAATTTTTACACGTTTTTTTTTATTTATTTTACTACAGTTTCCTTTTGTAAAGCACAAGTGTCTCATCACTTTTGTGAGACACTGTATTTCGCCAAGTTTGCAGTTAAAAAATCTTCCCATTTCAGAGACTGCAGTGCTCGTAATACGCAAAGTAAAAAGAACCCTAGTTCGCCCGATGTAATAAAAAATTCAAACTGAAGTGGTAAAGACTTTTGCATCTTTAAAATAAAATGTCAAACAAAACAATTTTGCTTTCTACGCCTTGGTTAAGCTTTGGTCACCGATTCGAAGTGATTATATTAGCGGCAGAGCGATACTGGATAGTGCATCTCAATCGCATTTTATGACCTCGCAGTTCGATTCTTCGCTTTGTCTTAACAAACATAAGGTAAATATTCCTGTTAATGGTTTAAGTGGAAATACGATGAATATTAATGGAAATTAAATGACGTTCTTATTAGTAATAATGATTCTTCTTTCAACTCTGTAATAGACTTTCTCGTTGTACCTAAAATAACAGACTTTGTACCTGCTACCAGAATAAAAGTAGAAAAACTGAAAATACCTGAGCATATATACTTAGCACATCCAGATTTTGACAAGCCAGGAGAGATCCACCTGATATTGGGTGCTGAACGTTTTTTCGAATTAGTGAAGGAGCAAAAGATTCGATTATCTAGTACTTTACTTTTCCAAGATCCAATCTTCGGATTTATTGCTAGTGGAGTTGTTGAAACTGAAAATTCACATCAATATTGTGGGCTAATCTCTCAGTCAGAAAGTCTAGAAGAATGTGTACATAAATTTTGGCAAATCGAAGAAATAGCCAACGAACCCCGTAGAAGCGAAGAAGATGAGTTTTGCGAATTGCATTATCAGAAGACACATAGGAGAAATGAGAGTGGGCGTTTCATAGTACAAATGCCTATTCGAGAAGAAGCACCTCATCAATTAGGTGATTCAAGAAACATTGCTAATAAACGTCTTAATCAGACGATTAAAAGGTTAAATAAAAACCCAGACCTAAAAAGGCTTTATATCGATTTTATCAATGATTACGAAAGCTTACATCATAAAGAAAGGGTTGAAGAAGAAAATCCTCCACCCTTACTTTCTACCTTCCTCATCATGAAATTTACAAACCTGAAAAATCACCTACGAAATTGCGCATTGTGTTTAATGCATCAGCTCCTACTACTACAGGATTGAGTCTGAACGACATTTTACTCTCAGGAGAGATTAAAGAAGATATTTTTGATTTAATTGTTCGATTTCGTAAACATAAAATAGCACTGGTCGCATTCATTAAACAAATGTTTAGACAGATTTTAATCGATTCATCGCAAAGGAATCTTCTACGTATCTTATGGAAAGAGCATGAAGACGACTCACCTATTATTTTTAGATTGAATACTGTAACGTACGGGACTAAATGTACTCCATTTCTAGCTATAAGAACTCTAGAACAGTTAGCTTTGGATGAACAGCAGAAATACCCGTTAGCTTCTGAAGTGATTCTTTCTGACGTCTTTATGGACGACATAGTTACAGCAACCTCTGATTTTGAGTCTGCTACTGAATTAAAGAATCAACTAATAAAGATATTCGAAAGCTGTGGAATGTCTTTACACAAATGGCAATCTAACTCTAAGAGTGTATTAGACACTTTAGTATCTAAGGAAGAGTTTCACTTTGATTCCACTAAATTTACGAAAACTCTTGGCATAATTTGTCAACCGGAATCCGATATCTTCGCTTTTAAAGTCGCTTTCCAAGGCAAGTCATCTTTTACGAAAAGAGATGTCCTTTGAGTCATTGCGCGGTTGTATGATCCTATTAAACTACAGTCATCTGTAAAGCAAAAATATTCCTTCAGAAACTATGGTCTTTAAAACTGAACTGAGACGATGAATTACCTGAACCATTTGCCAGTGAATGGAATCATTTCATTTTAAAGTTAAAGGAATTGGAAAATCTTAAGATAGGAAGATATGCTCTGCATTCTACAACCGATAAAAAGGCTATCGCAGGTTTCTCCGATGCTTCAACATCTGCGTATGGAGCAGTGGTCTACCTAAATGCCACTCAAGATAACCCTTGTTTAAAGTTACTGGCAAGCAGATCTCGAGTAGCCACTTTAAGGACTTTATCTTTACCACGCTTAGCCCACCAGCGGCCGAGCGGTAAAGACGCTGAACACTGGTAGTTCGGTCTGAGGTTCGAATCCCGCCAACGGGCTGGCTGCATGGGGTTTTTTCGTGGTTTTCCCCATGTGTAACGTGTATACGAGCCAGTTTCCCTTAGAAAGTCCTCCACGAAAGGCATCCCTCCCTTTAGGCAGATAGCCCTCGTGTGCTTTGCCATAATTAAATACACCAACACCACCTTTACCACGCTTAGAACTCTCAGCTTGTCTTCTACTTGCTAAGCTTGTTAAAAAAGTTCTGATTTCGCTAAATATAGACACTGAAAAGGTAACATTATATTCGGATTCGGCAATTGCATTAGCGTGGATAAACGCTTCGCCACATCAACTGAAAACCTTTGCTGGGAATCGTGTTGCAAAAATTCAGTCGTTATCAGAAAACTTCGAGTGGAAACATTCTAAGGAGAATCCTGCTGATTTGGTTTCTCGTAGAGTCGAGTTGAGTGAACTTTTATCTTCAGAATTATGGTTCAATGGACCTTCTAATCTTGACATGAATGTTATAGAAAAGGCTAGTTTGCATGTTAAGGACTATGAACTTTACGAATGTGAATTGAAAAAATCTCCAGAAATTTCTCTTAGTATTACTTCTAGTGCTGATTTCATTAACTATTTTCTTTCTTTAAGTAATAGTTTTGTTAAACTAATTCGTATTCTTAGTTTTATTTATAGGTTTATTTCCAACTGTCGACAAGGTAAGAGGTCATCAGGTCCTATTATTAGAGATGAATTTACGTATGCCAAGCTAGCAATGGTAAGGCTAGAACAGCGAATAGTATTCAAGGAAGAAATTCAAGCCCTTAGATATGGTAAAATTATAAAGGTATTGTGTCACTTAAGCAATTTAAATCCTTTCGTCGACGAAAGATGGAATACTTAGGGTAGGTGGCAGATTAAATAAATCATCTTTATCCTTATGACCAAAAGCATCCTATTCTGCTGCATAGGGATCATCATTTAACTACTATAATTATGCAATACATTTAAAAAAAAATTTAAAAAAATTACAAAAAATATACATACATTTAAAAAAATTACATGTTGGTGCTCAGACTTTGCTGCATTGTGTTCGACAGGAATTTTGGCCACTAAACGGCAGAAACACTGCTCGTAAAATAGTACATAACTGCATTATCTGTTTTAAAAATAAACCTAAAATAGCCCAACAACTTATGCCACCATTGCCGAAGGAAAGAGTTTCTGTGAGTCCCCTTTTTTCCGTAACTGGAATTGATTTATGCGGACCGTTTTACATAAACTATAAAAATCGACGAAGAGGTACCTTAAATAAGATATATGTGGTTATTTTTGTATGTTTAGTTACTCGAACGATATATCTCGATTTTGTTACGGATCTAACATCGCAGGCTGTAATTGCAACACTAAAAAGATTTTCGCATGACAAGGCCTTAGCTCAACTATATGTTCGGATAACGCTACCAACTTTGTTGGAGCCAACGCCGATTTGAAAAGGCTGATAAAACGCGGAATATCAAACCTATGTATTCTACCTATGAACGATTAATGTAGTGAATTTATATTATAATTACTTGTATTAATATTGCATATCTATTTTATTCTAAAATGTTGTAATTTGTTATTTGTTTAATAGATATATTATTGCATTTAATTGTTTCTAACTGATATATGTATCAAACTTTGAATTTCTTAAATAATTTATATTAGCTTTGAAATTAATATTTCAACGCCGGGCGGGATGTTGGCGCCTGATTGTCTGCTATGCGAAACCTTTCGCCTCTATCTTAGTTGCCTAGCAACGAATCTTGTAGCGCGCATGCATCAATATCGTTTGTTTTTGTAATCTTTTTTATTAGCTTGTTCGATGAGAAATTTGTTGCTTGGGTTTGAATGGCTGCTAATTGAGCGGTTAATTTTCGATAGATAAAAAGATGGATTTAAAAGAAAATTAGTTTCGTTATTTCGTAGCTACAGTCCATAACACATGTTATAATTACAGAGTTATTAATACTGAACTATATAGGCTAAACTAAGAATAGTCATTATTAAATTAGAAAGAATTATTATTATTTTATTGTTCACTTTCAACCAAATGGTATAATCACTATTAAATATTATGGTTTACTAAATCCCACAAATTTATATAAAAGATGTAATAACACAGGTGCTGAGACATGGTACGTACAACTCCACCATTCCATAAGCCAAAAAAAGCACTTCTACCTACATTGCTATCATATCATATGAGCTCATGTTCATCTGAAAGGCGTTCCCCTCCCCCCGTGTATACCTAATATTTATCTTTACTGTAATGCGATCCATATGCAGTGCTAATAACTGCCAATAGCTCGACACTTAGTCAAGCCATTATAAAAAGCACCATAAGTACACTCTGTTGAAAAATGAACCGCCATTTTTCTTTATTTAATACCCCCCACTAATCACAGATGAAGTTTGCTGCTTCAGTAATTATGTTTGACACATGCACAATTACATATAACCCGCCATTACGAAATATCGGCGATCAAGTATCACGATACAAAATACGACATATCATCATTCTTACACAAAATACGACATATGTTTCATTTTTTCATTTGTTGAAATGGGCATGGCCTGTCATGACCATAAGACCAACTTGTTTGGTTAGGTGGGTCGGGCTGCGCCCGCTACTGATGCGACATATCATCACGATAGTTCGTCCATCTCTGCGCATGCGGTAGCCGCACAATTTCGCCGAGACGTCGTAAATCGCCAAATTTAGTCGCGGGTTTGCGTTTCCTAGGGACGAAGTAAAAGTACGCCACCGAGGTCCGCTATTGTAACGAGGTTCTCCTTCCTTACGAGCGTCTTTTCAGAGGTGTTACAGGTCCTCAGTCGCTCTTCGTGGACAACAATGCTCCACCTCATCGTACAGTTGCTGCCGTTGGAGAGTGATGATATTAAATGCATGGGCTAGCGAGCAAGATTTCCAGATCTAAATCCCATCGAGCATGTATACGACTTTCTAGGAAGACACGTGGCAGCACATAACTTATCGCCAGTAAAGATTCCGGAATTGCGATTGGTGCTACAAGAGGAATGGGCAGCAATGCCTCAACAACTCATTGACAACCTCATACTCAGAGTGGACAACCTGTCAGTCAGAGGAGATCATATTCCCTACTAAAGGCAGGTTGTATTTTGCTGGACATTTGTCACATGTATGTTTCAGCCTTCGGCCACACTGGTGCGCCATGCTACGTTTTCAATAAAATTCCTTTTCATCCTTTTGATTTCTTTCTGGGAAGTTTCGCTTACATTACCCATGTTCTTATGTCTTTGGGGATCTTGTGGTTATTATTTGTGCTGATTTGGAAAGCTTTTGCATAATGTTATACTCTAAAAACCGTCTGGTACTTAATTTTTGCACAGTAATGTAAATTCCAACATACACTTAAGACATGGCTTATCCAGGGACGGCTCTTAATATTTTGCGGGTCAAAATTTCCGCTGCTAAGTGCCATCCTAGATTTTGCAATCTCTTAATTTTGTTGCTCAGTGCTTCTTTAAATTCTAAAAATTTTGCCTTCCCTCAATTCTGCTGCCCGGTGCGTCTACACCAGCTCTGGCTCAGATCCTGAACGTAACTGAACAACAAATCAGCTATTCTCAATTCAGACAGCACTAAGTGTAATCTTTTGACTTACGCTTTTTTTAATCGAAATAACTTCCTGTTAAATTTCTCCTCGTCAACACACTCGAGCGGAATTAGCTGAAGTCTGAAATCATCGCCAAGCACAAAATAAAAGGTTACCATGTTGTTTGGTATTCAGTTAATAATATTAAAAAATTGTTTAAAAATTGTTTAGACATCTCAGCGTGAGTCATTTCTCAAGCTGCAGTGTGTTGATAGTCATGCGGTAATGAAAGCAAAACAATAAATAATGATCCGTCAGGTTGGTGTCAACGCCGAAGTTAAATTAAGAATCTTTGATACCTTGATACTTTTGATATTCCTGTTTCAGCAGGAATTACATCCTGT